GTGGGCGAAAATACCACAATCTAAAATTGACGAGATGATTCTCACGATGCTCCAAAGGATCAACGAACTCCACGAAGCGAAAGGAAGATCTACTAGATATTAATTAAATTATAGATATATCAATTCATGTGAATATGACTGAGAAAATTCATTTTTTTCTGAAAAGGTGGTGCCTATTTACTTGTGACCACGCTGTGTACATTTACTGTTATGTTAAACCTATATTAAAGTTTTTCTTCATTACCCATTCAAGCCGTCTCCAGCCATTATTAGTCTCAAAGTGGGTTCCTCGTCACCGAATAGTTTTTGTTTATTAAACAGCATCATCTCAGTGTTTATTCTCTCACACACAGACAAAGCGATTTTAAACAGAATAAGCATTTACGTATCACTACCTTATAGGATACAATCTAGACTTATAAGATTATTCTATATCAATAAAAAAACTTAGAAACTAAGCATTGATTTCTTTAACTTTCAAACCCTTGTGATAGTGACATAAATAACACCTTTAAAACAAACATGACAGAAATCCTGAATTTGGAACCTTAAAATACAATTGCTTTTTAACATAAAAGTGATGGTAACTATACATTATATTTGTATTAAGAAAAATACGAAACAGCTTAGAAAGATACTATGGCTATAATAAAGAAACTTTTTCAATAGGAATATTTACTTGTCAGCGGAATGTGATGGTTCTTGGTACTTAATGTATCAAAGAAAGATTTGTGAAACGAAAAAAATACCACAAAAATGTGTTCATGTATATCAGGTTGTGGAAATGTACCATAAACAGCCCTTCATTAAATGAGGTATTCTAAAACTACAAACTTACAAGTGTGTGTATTTTTAAGTTCTACCTTTTATCGTAGCTTCATAACTAAATATAATCCTTAAAACAATTAAGAGACAATCATAATTTCTTAAATTGTAGCTATATGAAGTACATGGCTCTTCTGAACTAATTTTTATGCAAAATAAGTGTCATGTGACCTGTATGCACACATAAATGACATAAAAGTGAAGGAAACACACTGTGTTATTGGTTAGCAGTTTGAACAACAGCAGAGTGTTTGTGTGTAAAAGAGATCCACATTGGCGAGATGCCAGTTAAACACCACTAGTCGTTGTAGAATAACTACAAGTCTCAGAAAATGAGGTTAGTAGAATGTGGACAGACTTTCAGGTTATCAATACATAGAGTTGGATAGTACCTGGACACGATAGATTGTTGTTACTACTTGACAACATAGGTTCGACTCAACCTGTGGTACTCAGCTTCCCGAATGAATTTACAGCTTAGAACGGCAATTGGATGACAATTCAGAAACAGAATTCTTAAATCTGATATGTCAAATGATCAAAGGTGTGTGTTTCTCCAACCCGTCGCCATAAAACAGCCCGCATTCAGTGGCGTCAGGACCATGTGGGTTAATCAAACAAAATTTATCTTTGTTCCTTGATGAATTACTCTTGATACTTCGATAAGATATGAAATGTTTACGCATTTGAAGAAAGGACAATCTCCATTTCACAAAATAAAAACACGCTTAAGGTGGTGTTGCCATGCTAATCTGGAAAGGATCAGTGTTGATGGTCACAGTGAACTTTATATGCTGCAATATGGAACTATGAATTCTATACGATACAGAAAAGCAGCAACCGGTAGTTTCGTCGTATGCATTGCAGTTGGTCAGAAGCTTTCTACTTAATTATAATGCACTCCATCACCTTGCTTAACTTGTTAGTAACTTCCTGGAAGAATACGATATCGAGCGAATGAACTAGTCAGCATGCTTTCCGTTGATCCAACTGAGCATGTACGGGACGTCTGGAAAGACACTTGGTGGCACGTGATTCACCTCCAAGAAGTGCCGATGAATTGGGAGTAGTTATGATGAAGGAGTGGACCATATGTTTTTAGTAGCTCATTGATTCATTCTAAGCATTCTATATATGTCGATCTATCACATGCATTAATGTACGAGCTTATCATATGCCTTGTTAATAAATGTTTTATGATAATTTATTGTGCAGCGTATTCTGAAGTGCCAAATGAATATTTGTGTAGATGGATTTCATAAGTAGATATTTCAGTATCAAGTTACATGACTAGTCACGTGACATTTGTTTTGTTTAATAAACTCAGGATATTATCTAATAAAAGTAGTTGTGTCGCGTCATAGCTAAAAAGTAGGAAACTCCGCTTATCCCTTAATTGCTTTGGTAGTGTATTTTCTCATAAATTAATTTACAAAACTTATTAAGTTAGGTTTAACTATTCTTAATAAAAGTGGATAATTAATAATGTTATATATAATTACAATTCAAGCACCTTACAAGAATTAACGTAACAACATAGAATTATCATTACAACCATTCTTTAACAACGATAATTTATCATATCAATCATTATTTTACTAGACAGAATTATAGTGTCAGACATTTTAATAATCAATCTTTTGCTGTTCAAAACAAACACAACCATTCTTTGTTATAAAAAGAAAGTTGGTGGAGGGTATAAAATCATTTCTTATCCAAAAAGAAAGATTATATAAAAACATTATTCTTATTTTCACAGACTTTTTTAAACATAAACAGAAAAGGTATGAAACTACTACTTTAGCATGGAAAAGTATATAATAAGTGCTGTGTGTACACAAGCTATTGTAACAATACAAAAATGCTTTAAAACAATATTATTTATGTACTATACAGAAAGACACTAACAAATATTTGCAATTAAACAGGAATATTATAACAGCCAATATTCAAGAACACAGAAATATTATAACAATCTTTTTCAACTACACATTTGGATTGTGCAGTCATTCTTTCATAAGTTCCCGTTTTAGAATTGCCATAAGTTGTATCTCATAATCAAACTCGAACTTTATCTTTCAAATCTCCTAAATCTCTTTTGTCTGAGAATAGTATTTATAGACAATTAGTCCCCATGAAACATGAAATTTAGTCACAGAGTCACAAAAATGGTAATCACACAGAGTTTAGTTGGAAAACTCAGATATTAATAATGAAAGTAGATATGGTTAACTATTAATATTTGAATTTAAACACCAAGACAGACACGAGCACGTAAAGTGTATTACAAGCTATAATCACACACATTTATGGAAGTTTCACGTCTAATATGAAAAAAGGTAAAAATGAAAATGTTCGATAACATTTTAAGAAATTATTTTGATAATAACTTAAGATGGCTCTAGCTATGCTAATATCACTGAAAAGACAGAGTTGAAAATTAAATTTAGTGAAGTATAAAGATTTGTTTGTTTGTTTATTGCTAAGCAAAGGCTACACAAGAGTAGCCCACTACGAGTATCGAAATCTATTTTTTAGCAAAGTATATTTGAATAAAATATTTACGAAATTGGTGTAAAATACTATTGCTTAAACAAAAAGGATGTATGCATTTATTTACAAAATTTATTTTTAAACGAAAGTCCGTTTATGAATGAAAAATGAGTTCGTTTTTTAACATTATAGAAATTCCCTATGTACCATACTCAGTTTGTTCTTTATGTATTCTCTATGTATTACGATTAAATTCAGAATATTAAAGGTAATTCCTCCATTCCTGCGACTAGAGATTCTAACTTTAAACCATAGACAATACATCTTTGTCACTATACAAAAGGTATGAAAAGTCATGTGACTTCCTATTAAGTTTCTAGACACTTTTCTATGAATAATTTTCGATAAGAATACTTTGCATTCAACATAATTTTTTTATATAAAATACTCCATTGAAAGTACCAAAAAATCATACAATTCATTTTCGTATTCCAACTTAATTTAAGTTCGTTTCAGATACAAGTAGAACATTTAATAATTTGTGACTTCTATGCACAAATCATGCTTCAGAATTTTATAGAAAGGCTATTATTATACTACTAATATAATTAATTTTTACATATTCAATTCTAATTAAGTTAGTTTCATGGTGCTTCTTCTTTTCACCTGACTGTCAGAAACAAATCCCGAAATAGACCTTTTGCTGATATTATAAGAACTATTGTGTTTAATGGTCATAGAACATATACATATAAAAGCGAAATGAAAATATGGCTGTTGTTTAAGAGTAGAATGTGGAAAATAAGCAAACGTATTAAGTGTGTAAGGACATCACTTTAACTTCTTGTGTCACAATATTGTCCTTTCAGTAACAATGACACCTGAGAAATATTTTTTCTGATCTAACAGGGCTGCTAAAATTAAGTTCATTATATAATGATTATATTTCTAAGTTTATTAGCGCCCTCATTCGGTGCAGTATAGGTTCCATAATTTACTCTTGTTTCCTCTACCCAATGATTTTTGTTCAAACCAGAAATTCTTGGGTCAAATTTCCTCTGGTCGAGGTCGGTGAATAAATGGTGGGAGAGGTCCAATAAAAGGTCCAGGTGGTCTTTTAACTGGTCGAGGTGGTTTCACAATTGGTTCTTCGGAGTGCAGGTTTACGATACGTCGATGTAATATGTGATATCCAGTAGCATCTGCTAGATATTCGGTCACTCTCAGGTTACCATAGGGGTCTATATAACCCCACCTGCCTCGAACAGTTCCATTTTCAGCCCTCTCTTCCTGTTTGAATGACTGACCAGGACCACTTCCAGTGTCATAACCATACTTATACGTTCCAAAGCCTGCATAGTTTTGAATGAGATAATTCGTTTTCACATTTGAAAGTGCAGGTACTTCATATTCAAACCCATCAAAAACTGACATCACACTGCAAAGCGAAGCAGTTAAAATAACTATTACCTGAAAAAAAAAAGAGTGTGATAACGTTAAACAAAAGAAAACATAACATTCTTTGATTCGTGTTTATGCATTGATGAATTTGGTTAAATATAAAAGATGTATACTTGAGAATTAATAAGAAGGTATTATTACATCAATAAAGTTAAAATATTAATATTAAACATTAATGTCTATTTTTAAATGTCTCTCAATTAAAGAATATTTACACTTTACCCTCACTTCTACACTTAAAGAATATTTAAAGTTCAACCTCAAGTTAACTGTTAAAGAATACTTACATAGAGGTGAACATAGAGATAACTTATCTTTAATAATATATAAAGTGGTTAGAGAATACTTACACTTTATATATTTTTAGAGAATATTTAATCTTTACTTTTACTTCTGCGATTAATCTGTACATATTTTACTCTTAAGCCTATCGTTGAAATATATTTCAAATTTATTTTTCCGTTTCCTTTCTTGCTTGATCTTTCTCCTTTTACTGCTGGTCGTTTTAAGATGACATCAAAGTTTGTATAAACTATTCCTTTGAAATTACAATGCCTGACTTATAATTTATGATAGTAATTATTTTACTCAGGTGAATAGATTTATATCTCAATTAAATTTACACTTACACGTCACTTAATCAGAGAAGTTCTTGCTGAAATCAATAAGTACAGAAAATGTTCATGGAAGGATAGATATGTAGACACTGAACATTTTAAAGTCACATTTGTTATACCATATTGCATCAGGAAAAATAATAGTCCGAGGTCTTTCTATTAACCTCGTTCATTAAATGAGTATGGTGATGACAGTCATAGTCTACACAAGCTCGGAATGAAAATGATTTACTACTATGTTTAACATGAATATTAGAATGCTGATTCAGCACACGTTTCTTACTGTAGGCTTTAAACCAGATTTATTGCGGTTTTGTAATCAGTGGTTGCTTGGAAACAATGCTACTTTTTGTGACTTATTTCCTTGAAAACAGCGGTATCCACTGTGTCTAATCAGGCGTGTTATTACCATTTACCATTACTTGAGAATACAATTAAAGATAACTTAAATTTTTTCCTATGAAAAGAATAACGGACAAGAAGTCGTTTACAATGAAAATAAGAACTTAAAAATCGCCCAAAGATTAACCACTTGTTGTAACATTCGATACAAATATATTTGATATTTTTTGTTATTAACTAACGAAATTATATATTTTCTACATTTATGTCTTTAAAATTTCACCATCCGTATTTACTATGAGTCTTAAAACTTTCATCACCAGTAAGAATATCGAAATGAATATCACAAAGTCACAGAGAATCATATTTTTGAGTTAATTAATGTGAAAAAATAAACAAGAGTACAGTTAAATTAGTTTCAACAATGAAAACAAACCTAATTGTTTATGGGTCAGTATTAATAACACTGTTGTTTTTTATTTTAATGCTGTCACTAAATGGACTACCTAAGTTCTGTCTGCAGTGAGTAGTCGAACCCCAGATTTTAGTGTCGTAAGTCTGTAAACCTACAACTGGCCCCACCGAGGGAGACTGCCAACCATATAAATAACTTTAATGCTGAATTATAATCAATAACAAAAACAATTTTATTACGAAATTAGCCAATGTCAATAAAATATTTTTTGTAATTATGTTCCTAACTAAAAACTGTATGACTAACGTCAATGGTTGGTTAGTCACAAAAAAATTTTAAACTATTTATATTATTTACACATAATATAACACCATGTTTTTTCCATTTACAAAATTTGTATTAACAGTATTAACTTTCGAGGTCAAGCAATTAATGTTGAGTTAGTTCACATTTGTCGTCTTCTCTAATGTCATGCTTAGTCCCTAGCTGGTGGACTTACATTAAGATAAACACTTGAAAACATTAAACACTTAATAGTAAAATGACTAAGTAGCCTTAAGTATTGAGAAACAGATTACTGCATCAGTTCCAGCTCGTTTGTTTACTTGAGTCATTAAACTGTACAAAGGAGAGTGTTTTCAACTCTTAAGTGTTCTCATTACACATGGTAGAACGTTCACCAAACTGTGACGAATTGTCTCCTACCTATTAGAGAGGGTGTAATGGAGTTAACTTAGGACAGTTTCAAATGTTCAACGTTATTGCGTTACACAGAGAGGAAAGGTATCCGTTTGTAACTTACCTGAAAAAATTAAAATAGACATTTTCGTTTAGTAAACTCGAAAGAATGACTCTTGAACTCACTCTAGTTAGGACACGTCGCGAACTTTTCCTTCTTGTTGTTTATATTGTTGTTGTTCTTGTGTCGGAAAGTTAATATTGCTTTATTCCTTAGAATAAGGTCATTAAGTTATTTTTTTTTAGATGTTGCAGCTCCTTCTGGCATGACAGCTTTTAAGAATCCGTGACCATACCGAGGATTTAGAACTATTTTCGTTTACACACGCTTATATCTTATATCTCTACACGCATATCTATATTTGTATACATATTTGATGATAACTTGAAGAAACAATTAAATACATACTCTCAAAAGTTAAGGTAGAAAACTTATTACTACTTATGACGCGTCATAATTCCAACATTCACGCAAAAAAAGAGCTGTTCGAATAAAATTTATTATCCTAGTTTTGATGATATAAAATAAATGATGGCATAAACCGTTCCCCGTTTTCTTTGTTATTTCTGTGATTTGGAATAACATAATCAACACAGAACATTCAGTTGCAAATTCATTTTTACAAAACATATAACAGATCATCAAATTATAAAGATTTGAAATGTTTATACATAGTACGATACGTTTTAGAACTTTTTAAATCTTGAGATATGTTAGTTTAACATATTTTCAACTTTAGTGATTAAAATAGTGAATTTATTGTTTGTCAACTAGGACAAGGAATTTTATATTTGATTAACTCGAACAGTTTTCAGTTGTTCTTCTTTATAACAATTAACTTTAGTTAACTGGTTAGACAACTTTTATCATGTAAGAGAAACGATTACATAGTTTTCTATATTCTTTATTGTCTCCTTGATTTTGATCAATACAAACTATTAACTGATCATTTTATTTTATAAAACATATTACAATTTATCATATTGTATTTTTTTTAATTATCCTTAGTACGTTAAGTCTGTGAACGTTTAAACTGAGACATATTAACTAAACACAATTTCAACTGTTCGTTATTAGAACAATGAATTTATTTTTCAACTAGGCCATTATTTGCTATGTTTAGAGCAATAGATTTTAGATTTTATTAACTCCAACAATTTTCAATTGTTCTTTCTGGAACAATGACTTTTAATAATTTATAAGTTTAAACAATGTTTATTTGTTGATCCTCAGAACAATGAATGTTATAGTGTATTAAACTGATCAATTTTAAATTGTTCATTTCCAGAATAATACAGTTTAAAACTTTCGACAATCACCCACTATTCATATTTAGAACAGCAAACTATAAATTTTATTAATTGGACAATTTTAGTTTTTATTCTTAGTACGCTGAATATTACAGTTTAATAATTCAGAGGATTTGTAATTGTTTGTTAAAAGCAACGGTTTTTACGGTTTAATAACGTAACAATTTTATTGTTTAAAGTTTGATACTATATTATACTTCAGTATAAGACTTCCTTAATTTTTGTAAGGCTATCAGTTGTCATTCTAATTATAATTCACCCTATAAATTTGGTAAAGAGTAAACTTCCCTTAAATACAGAAAAATATTAGCGTAACTCAAAGAGTAACTCCAAATAAATCAGAATATAAAGCTGGTTGAAAATAATGATGTATACATCTCCTACACTTCTTGAGTAATCATACATCTCCTACACTTCTTGAGTAATCGCACAACGTTAATGTGTTATATCTAAAAACAAATCTGATGTATTTAATATACCCTAAAAATGGCTACAAGACAAAATCAATACCTGTTTGTTTGTTTTTCACATTATTATCGCTTAGTAACAAAGAAATAACCTCAGGAGGTCCGACATGTTTGGAAGTCTAATTATAATAAGTTAACAATAACTATAAGTGCTACGTAGTTATTTAAAAATTTACTATTATATAAATGCTACTTTCGTTGTTCTAAGTTAGAGACAATTTAGTGACTGTGTTATCGTTTTCTAAGAAACGAAATTTAGGAGCTAGTATTAATTATAGCATAAAAATCCCGCTAATGAAATGTTCTTGTTACTTACCGCAGAGATGGCAATTTCTGGAAAATATTGAATTATTATCAAAAACAAGTAGAATAAAGGAAATGGTGTTACACTTACTCAGTATTAAAAAAACAAGTTTAATAAACGGAATGGTGTTACACTTACTCAGTATTAAAAAACAAGTTTAATAAACGGAATGATGTTACACTTAATCAGTATTAAAAAAACAAGTTTAATAAACTTAATAGTATTAAACAAAACGGACTTACCTGGCGAAAATTTGTCATGTCAATAGCTACTAAAAGCTAAGCATTAGAAAATATAGTTCTGTGTTGAGAAACCTAAACTCATAAGACTATCCAGTGTTGAATCATAAGTACAGTGCTGAAGGAAACTACCATCTAAAGAACGGTCAGTCAACCAAGCTGACAATATCCCAGTAACTCTCGTGCTTTATGAGTCGTTGTATGATCAAGACACCCCACTGTACCTAGGTACGTACAACCGGCGGGACTTTCTCGTGAGTTTATATATTCCAGACCTCGCAGGTTCACGTTATTAACCTCTTTTTTTATTTTTTTAACAGACGTGAGTAGCGTTACGAACTCGTGTGACGGTCAGATTGTAACCTCGAGGACAACTTTCTTTATTCAGACTCCATTTTGTTGGCGTTTATCTTATTATGTTCACTTTAAAAATCAATACTTCTGTATGTATAGATAAAAGGGTTTCGACCTCCCCATTTGTGGACACCTGAATGGCGTATTTAATGATGATTTGAAGAGCCGGTATTTGCAGGTATCTATAGGCAAACTCACGAGAAAGTTAGCTTTTAGGATGAGTAGGCGTTCAGTGAACAAACACCACGAATGTTCATTCCTTTTATTGTGGTTAGACAGATGTCTAAAACCGGGTTAAAACAGGACCCTTTTTCACAAATTATTAGAGTCCTGTTCTGTGAGAAACAATGTAGGTAGTATTGTGAATTTTTAAATCGAGGTCGAAATCAAATAATCGTAGAATTTAACATTTCACCATAACGTTGGCTCACAGATAATTATTTTTTTTTATCTTACACTTGTTACTTTTTTTTCATTTAGCTTATAACCAATTTTCATAATATCAGCTCCTCGCATAAGTGCTTAAAACCACAACGGAACCCTTCAGTTATTCATCACGGTACACGTTTTCTGGAAAGCTGTTGTTCTATTAACACAATTATGGAACTATTTATAGACCATTCAAGATGTGAGTATAATCAATGTTCTATGTGGTCTTCGCTTCCTCGTCTTACAGCGTTTTATTATTCCAATCTGTAACGTCGAAGTTGAATTGTTTTTCGCAATAAAATAACAAACACTTGACCAAAAATTAAAATCTTAATTTTCTCCTTTGTTAATACTTCTCTGTCTCTGGAAGATATTAAAAAAATAGAACTTAAAATATAATATCGCACCATATTAATAAAGCTGCTGGAGCAAAACCAACAAACTTCGTGGTAATGTATTTTAAGCATGAAAAAAGAAAGTAACAACACATGAATCGAACCAATTCATTTAGATTTAATGAAATTAATATTTTTTGAAAATTTGTAACAACGTATATTAAACTGTAATATATGTATCATTATTGTCTTAACTTACACTAAAGACTAGTTCTGTTTTTCAATTGAGAGTATAATTGTTAAGTTTGTGGTAAAATACCATGTTTTTTTAGTGTAATACACATTGTTGAAGTATCAATAACGGACACTCACTGATCCAGATAGTGACAAAATAAGGGTACCACTGACGATAAGATAAAATTACATAAAAAAGTAATGTCGTGTTTTGTGACTAGTTCATGTAAAAACAACATAAATACCAAATGAAGTTCGAAAAATATAACTAATACTTTTTCGGGTGTTCTTCAAATATTTAGTATACGATAATGAGCTAAGAAACTCAACATTGATTTTCAATATCTAAACGCGTTAAAGACGTTCTGACGAAACATACGGAGTCAGCAAACTTGTTATAAAACCCAACAAATGAAATTATTTTTCCTCTTTTAAAATAGAAACAAACAAAAAAAAAAAACCAACAACAGTCAAATCAGACTTCTCATATTGTATATATTTATTTCTGCAGGCTACCCATAGAGAGCGCTCCATTTATATGATATAGGATTAAGTGAAGGAATTTCCTCATATAGTTTCTTACCTGAAAAAGAAGATTGCTCCAGTTTTGTAATTGTGTTTAACATGCCAAGCACGGAGGTCGGGGGACTTTCCCAGTTTTATATTAGGTCAGGGTTTCCGTGCTACGCTTTGCTTGGTAGGTAACCTTCGGTTAGGTGGCCATTTCTAGCTGGTTCTACAGAATTGTTCGATTTTCAAACAGGATACTAAAAGATTTCAGAGCTTATATCTCATGTATCCTACTTAAAACTTAATTTTTCACAGCTGATGGTTTGTAGTGAAGGTTCGCAAACTATTCTTATCGTCATGCTGAACTAGTCACATTAGAGGTTCTTCGAGTCTCACTGTCTAGAGCAGTTGAACCACTTAAAACTCTACTGTACATAAATGTGAATAAAATGTGCATTGCAATAGTTTAAAATTGAATTCATTGACGTTACTGCAGTGTGAAAGAAAAAAATATTTGTCTAAAAGTATTAAGTGTAAAAGTTTTACAGATATTTTTATTACATTTCTCTTCATAACATCATAACGTTAGATGAGGATATAAGCTATACCAGTAGAGCATTTTAGTTAATACCACTTGTAAAAAATAAACATATGTAGTAGCGTAATATACTATTTACTAGCAAATCAACACAATTGTTGTTAACAAAAAACGAAATGATTATTCAAGAAACATATACGGCTCAGAAAACAGTCCATCTAATTAATTAACTTACATTGAATCTATATTGTATATATAAGCATCAATGAATTAAAGGTTCTTAATAACAAGAACGTATCAAGAAACCTACAAATGTTTGAGAAAAAGCTTCACCAAAATTAAAAAATACATTTCTATATTAGTGTATAATATTCTATATAAGTTGACCCATTATAAATAATTATAAGTCTCCTTTATATTCCTGAACTTGATCAAACTATTAGAAATAATTGTGGAAACATTGAATAAAATGGGTATCAAAAGCAAATATTATTAATTAGTTATATGACTGCCATCCAATAAGTCAGACAGTACAATAACATATAAAAGTATCGACAGTCATACTATTCCCAGCAGTAGTGTGGTGAATGTACTTCATTGCTTCCAAAACAGAAATTTCACATCACAAACGTATGAAAATGAAAGCTTTCAATGGAGAAAGCTACATTATACACAAATTAAGGCGAAATTTAATGTTTCAATAGGAGCTGTGTGTAAACTCAGAAAAGAGTACGTGAAACTAGTATTCTTGATAATAAAAGTGGTCGAGGTAGAAAGTCCAACTTTTCAAAAGTTATGTTGAATAATTCAGGGTATGCCCTTTACGTGAAACAAAACAATCCAGTAGCAATCTTGCTAGTGACTCCAGAACAATAAGATACGAATTATCATGAAGTGACTTTAATTATAGCTGCTCAAATACCATTGTTTAGGAGAGATAACCATATCAAAAACCTTGAAACGGCCATCAAACTTCAAATAATGGGATGATAAAAATTATTTGAGATACTCAATGATGTTCGATGGTAGAGAGGAGAAAGGTATCATGGTCATCGTCAAATTCAGGGGAAACAATATAAGTATGGGCTGTATGGTAATCGTCAAATTTAGGGGAAACAATATAAGTATGGGCTGTATGGTCATCGTCAAATTTAGGGGAATCAATATAAATATGGGATGTGTGGTCATCGTCAAATTTAGGGGAAACAATATAAGTATGGGCTGTATGGTCATTGTCAAATTCAGGGGAACAATATAAGTATGGACTGTATGGTCATTGTCAAATTTAGGGGAAACAATATAAGTATGGGCTGTATGGTCATCGTCAAATTCAGGGGAATCAATATAAATATGGGATGTGTGGTCATCGTCAAATTTAGGGGAAACAATATAAGTATGGACTGTATGGTCATTGTCAAATTCAGGGGAACAATATAAATATGGGCTGTATGGTCATCGTCAAATTTAGGGGAACAATATAAGTATGGGCTGTATGGTCATTGTCAAATTAGGGGAAACAATATAAGTATTCATACTTATATTGTTTCCCCTGAATTTGACAATGACCATACAGCCCATACTTATATTGTTTCCCCTACATTTGACGATGACCATACAGCCCATACTTATATTGTTCCCCTAAATTTGACGATGACCATACAGCCCATACTTATATTATTTCCCCTGAATTTGACAATGACCATACAGCCCATACTTATATTGTTTCCCCTAAATTTGACGATGACCATACAGCCCATACTTATATTGTTTCCCCTGAATTTGACAATGACCATACAACACGCTGTATGGTCATCGTCAAATTTAGGGGAAACAATATAAATATGGGATGTATGGTCATCGTCAAATTCCGGAGAAACAATATAAGTATGGGCTGTATGGTCTTTGTCAAATTCAGGGGAACAATATAAGCCTTTTCCATCTTTTTTCTTCTGCGTAATCCAAAGCTTAGTGAGACATCAGATATATAAAAGGTAGAAAACAGTGTGCAGGATATCACAAGAATCAATGAACATGTCCATAAAAGATGATGTTTGCAGCAACTGCGTTTAAGGATATGTTTGTGATGTTGATTAACGATAACAGTAAATATGCTGAATGCCTTCTTTAATAGTTTTGAAACATTATGTCTGGAAAACTTTCCCCAATAAGACTTATGATCGCAAAAGTGTCTCTAGTGAAACGAGGAGTGTTTAATATAGACTCATTTTGAATAATAGGATTACATTAATATCATTGTGTACGTAAAAAATGGCCATGATCTGGATGTATTAAATTCTCTCTACATATTATTTCCTATAGTACTCAATAGATGGCGTCGCAACAACAAATTAACAACACAGCAATCTTCGGGTCGACAGTTCGAATTCTCGTCACCGAGCATGCTCGCCCTTTCAGCCGTGGGTGGCGTTATTATGTAACGCATATTCTCACTATTAATCGACAAAAAAGTAGCACAAGAGTTGGCGGTGGGTGATGTTGACTAGCTGATTTTTCCCTTTAGTTTATCACTGCTAAATTAAGGACGGCTTGTGCAGATATCTATCGAGCATCTATGCGCGAAATTCCAAACAAACCACACCGGAACTGGTATATTAAAACGT